TTGCAGTGATTTCTCGGCATCATTCAACGGAGCTCGCGCGAGATCCTTCAAAGCTTTGCACGAAGAGATATCACCAGCAAAGGCCTTGGCGATGGTCGCGACGTGTTTCGCAGTGGCCTGGGCGATGACAAGGAAGCTTTTTCGAGAAAGGGGTCATGGGGATGCTGGGGTCATCTGCATTACTGCAATCGAGCAAGACTTCTTTTCCTTCACTCCTGGCTGACGGGGTTTGCTACTGTGTGAATTAGACATGCATGTCATCCGATCCTTTAATTATAGTTTGCATCATACCGTGTTCAGGCTCTAGATTAAGCTTTATAGAGCTTAGGGGGTCCTTGGATATAGCACGGGGTTCTTCTCGATCGGATACCACTGTACATATGTGCATGTGCAAATTTACAACACCCATCTAGGCTCATCAGCTCTAGCAGCGGTGCAGTAACAATAAAAGGGTGCATCGAATTTTGGATTGAAGGTCTTGTCTCGCATTCCTTCCCCACCTCGTAGAACATTCCGGCACTGTTGCAAATGTGCATGGTGCGAAATCAAGGCAGCCTCGAGCATCTCAACCGAACCCAGGTCTGAGCTTTGGAACATGATGAGCATCTTGGTCCAACCGTTTTTGCGGTACAGCTGAAAGCGATCCTCGTAGTCGTGCGTAATTCCAATCTTGTAGATGGCTAAGGATTCCCCACCAGTCTCCATGCGAAGTTTATGTATTGCCCCTAGGCAATGAGCAAGGACTTTCCCCGCTTGACTTGTCTCAGAGATAAGGTTGAATGAGATTCCATATGGCACCTTCTCCTGACTCTGTGCTGTCCGAATCAACCCGACAGGTGGCTCCTGCTGGATTGGATCATCCTCGCTTTCAGTGTCCGAACCCCAAGGAAAAATTGCATCCAGAGGTCTTTTGCGCATCAGGGGATATGGCTAGGCTGATCTTTTTTTTGAGAATTGGTCGAGTGCATCACTGAGGTTTTCTAGAAGCTGAATTAAAGTTGGGATTCCGATATTTGTTGGCTATATACAAATAAATGTTCCAATTAATCTGTGAGTAGAACATCTATTTTTATGGGGCTGGACTGATCATTTCAAGCCAAACATCATCATCCAGTATGAGATCAGCTGCACAAAGGACATAACTGACTGAAGGAGTGGAGCACAGCCGCCTGCATCAGATTACTGATTGCTTGAGGCCGCGGCTCCAGTTCCCATCGTCCTCGCCAGCGTGTGGGCCCGATCGCTTACATCATCAGTTCCACCTGGCTTTGCCGTTGTTGCACTACAGTTTTCAGAGGCTTCGGTGAAGGCTCAAGATTTGAAGCTAGGGTTTGTGGCTAGATCAGTTTTGGGCACTTGGGCTTCGGGACCTAAGTGGCTGCAAGGCTTCGGTAGTCAAGTGGCTCGATGGCAAGATCTTAGAAAGACCTCTGGAAGTATCCATACAACACGAACAGGCTTAAGGATCGTCAAAGGATAAATTGGCCAGCTTATGCCAGCTACCTCCATTGTTTTGTGCAGGCTTGTTTCGAACCCACCCCATCCCGAGACTATCAAAGACCAAAGGGTATAAGGACTTAGAACTTAGGGTTTAGGACCAAAAACAATTTGAGGATCTAGAGGGGCCCACACAACACTTTAACATTGGAGGGAACGATGATTCAATAGCTGCAAAGTTTACAGGGCAGGGCAGGATTTAGGACTTAGGGCCATGATCTACATATGCCATAATCTTCGGCGGGGGAATCCTTACATCTTTTCCCAGAAAGCAGGAGCTGTGAACTCGGTCTGGCAAGCACGGCCTTCACTTTCGTTTGCCACAATTACAACTGTTCTACAACAGTTAGTGTCACCCTAGAGGACCTGACGATACGTTAAAAGCGACCTCCGGCAGTGCATCTCAGAACCTAACAACTCCATCGCTGCGCCATGCTAGGATGGCTCCTGCTGTCATCGACATTCGGCGATGCTCTTCATTTATCAGGCCTCTTCCCTGGCCAACAGAACTTTCAGCCCAGCCAGAACTGATTTGGAACCAAGGTTGTTCAGGGCTTTGGGTTTGGCATGTTACATGGTGTAAGCTCTTCAAGGATTTGTATTGGGGGGTTTAAAGCCTAGTGTACAGGGACATACAAAATTTCCTTCAGGTCTACACACAATAAGAAAACAACCCTGCTGAAAGTTCCGTTGGAAGATATTCAGGCTCTTGAACACAAATAAATGCGAGGCCAGGATCTTCCCAGCCAGCATCTAGGCACTTGCAATCTTCTTGCCTCTCTTCTTGGGTTTGGGGTTGGGCGTGCTATTCATCTGGGGAGCCTCACCTTTGCTGTGCTCAGGCGATCGCTTGGGCGTGGTTTTCTTTTTCAGCTTCCTGCATCAAAGAGCAAGAATTGCAGTATTTAAGGCCACCGAATATTACTACACAGTACCTGAGAATCCAAGCCAAGGATCTTGTTCTTCACCTCGAGGGATGCCGCCATAGTCATCCTCGGTTCAGGGCACATAGGCAAGTCCCATATTAGCACTACATTGCAAGCACAGGGGCACTGTAAATGATGCAACTGAATATGATAACCCGGCACAGGATGATTTGACTGCATACAAGACTCTGCCGCTTCACGGCTTCGCACTTGTTCTCCAGGTCCCTGGTTTGCCTTGGCTAGCACCGGCTTGGATTTGGGATCAGCCTGGCGCTGAGATTACCGGGGATAAGTTAAATGACATGAACCATTAGGGCAGGATGCGCGTCACTGAACTTCTGAATCTTTGCATCAGCCTGTAGCTTGGCCAACTCATCATACAGCCCGCCCAGTGCAACGATCACGTCATTCATCTTCTTCGCCTCCCTGAGCAGCAGAGAAGTGGAAGGAATTGGGATTTGATCTTGTGCTGGCAATCTATAGCTGGAAAATTAGAGGAATGTGTCTTGCATAAGTATCGCACAGACTGACAGTGGAGTCCGACACGTCGAGTTTCTCGACAAACTTGCTCAGCTTGTCTCTACACGCCACAGACTCCTGCATGTGGCGAAGGATGCTCTCGGCAACCTGGGCACCAATTTTGTAGTTGTGTGTATCGACTCACAATGATAAAGTCATTACATCTGACAACCCCCGGCATTTTAAGAAAGCCTGATAAGCCCAGTCACCTTATCCACACCACTCTCGACTTCACAGGTTCCCAAGTCATCTAGACGCCACTCATCCAAACCGCCAGGCTTGGCACTCTCCTCCATGCCTTGCACGGAGCCCTGGGCACTGGTCGAATCCTTGATGTGCTCGGACTCGCGCATGCCCCGAACCCCCGAAGTTCGGTGGTCCACCCAGTACTCGGTCTCTTCCTTGTCGTACTTGTTCTTCCTCAGGGACCGGTGTGGTTTGGGGTTTTGATGTCTCAGCTTATGGATCGTTCCAGGCGCTTGCTATAATTGGGGAACCTGCGGCAAAGGGCTGTTTTGCGTCGTCAGAGCCACAGAGAGAGAGAGAGAGAGAGCGAGAGAGAGAGAGAGAGAGAGAGAGAGAGAGAGAGAGAGAGAGAGAGAGAGAGAGAGAGAGAGAGAGAGAGAGAGACAGAGATGCATTGGAGACAGAGATGGCAGAAGAAGGACCTGGAGCGAGAGAGAGAGAGAGAGAGAGAGAGAGAGAGCACGTAAGTATCAAATTGATACAGTCGAACTAAGCCGACTAGCTACCAAATACAAAACCATAGGCTTAGATATCGCCAAGAAATCATATCCAGACCTAAACGTTTATATGATTGCACGAGAAGCTTTAACCTAGTATCATTCAGATCAGACTACTATAGACAGCAAAACCAAGTAAGAAACTAAAGCCTCAAATAACCTCTATAGCCGCAAGGTGGGAGCATTACTCCTAGACGGCATTACCCACCCAGCCTAGATGCCAAAAGAGAATTGAAATCAAAAGCACAAGCCCTGAAGCACCATAGACCCAATAGCAGGTTGAGGGAAACCTAGACAGTAGTGTAGACTATGCCTATAAACGAAAGCAGTAAATACTCTAGACTCTAGATCCTCAACAATCTGGGCCCCAAAGCACATAAACACAAGGAGCCCAAGCCAAGCATCGGTTTGAACCCTGGGGACCTACATAGGATAGGGCACTCTCGATTGCAGAACATCCTAATACCCAGAGGGCCCCAAGAAAGAATCTTAAAGCTAAGTGGGTTTAGGCTTCGGGCTTAGGGAACCTGAGAAGCCCATGTGCCGAGATCAAACATCCCAAAGCGGCCTCGTGTGGCCTGGATTCGCCTCGCACCAAGCCATGATCTGCTTGATCCTCTTCCTTGCTGTAGCATCTGAGCTTGTGGTTTTGAGATTGGGGTTCATTTAGGTAATGGTAGTTTGCCATCATAAGCATGATATAGAAGAAGCCTAGAAACTCCTTCAGGCCGAGGCCACCCTCAGCAACAGGCTTCTTCATATCCGCTTCGGAATAGAATCCACCGTGGGTCATGGTTTCGCGAAACTTCTGGGTCTCCTTCCAAACCTCTACCTTTCGGATAAACTCTTCCTCAGCTGTAGTGCAATGAATCCATTGTACAATGCCCTGAAACAGTAGTTGATATTTCAAGGCCCCTAAACCCTATAGCCAAACCCGAAACCGATCCTTTTTTGCACCTTAGGAATCTCTGTTTCCCTCGGCATCGGTCATGAACTGGATGAGGTTGTCCCGAACAACCCCCTTCTGAAGCCACATCTTGTGAATTTCCTCACTCACCTGTAACTTTCCTGTCTTCGTCCTCTCGCACAACCGACTGCACTTCGCCCGCATCTTGTTGTAGTGGGGGCCTCGACCGACCGGCTCGGTGTCCTCGTCCTCACTGTCCTGACAGCGATAGCTTACAAGATTGTTTAAAAACTTCCTGCGCCAGGGTGTACATGAGTGGGCAGGATTCAAGCTTTGGTTGCGAATTCAGAAACACACCCTAAAGCCCTATGGATCTGTCCTTCGGCAAACACTGCTTTGAAGGTGGGGCTTGGGAGGCTTTGGCAAGCTCGGCATCCAGGCGGCGCCGGGGAACACTAGGAGGTGGATTCGCCTTGAGTCGGGCGATCTCCCTTTCCTTCTCCTTCAGCTGTTGAAGCAACATGTCACGCTCGTCCTGGGTTGGTGTTGTTTAGGGTTTGGGGTTTAGGGTGTTTCTTGGCTTTTCACTCAGAATGAGATTCAGTTGCAGCTTAGATGCCGTCTTGGCCGAAAGGCGGCGGGTAGGAGTGTAGCGCTTGGTCTGAGGGGTGCTTCCATAGTTTCCCGGGCTTGGGGTCTTCTGGCTTTCTTTCTTGGCCTGCTGGGGTGTGGCAACTCGTCGAGCTTGGGAGTGAAGGGCTCGCTTCAAGTCCTGGGATTGGAAAACACACACACACATAGACACACACACACACACCAATACAGGAATATGCACATGCAGGCAGACACATGTGAGGGCTATGATTGGTCGAGTATCTTCCGGAGACATGTTGTCGTCATCGTCATCGGAAACCATGAACACTTCATAATCATCTGCCTGCACCCTTGGACTTCCCTCTGTAGGAGCTGCCTGTACAGGACATTGCATGTGCTTCAGTAATCTACGGGAATGCAGACCAAACCGACCTGCCTTGGGTTCTGAAGCAACACAAGCAGTAGAGGGGGTTGCCGATGATGGAGGCTCAGAAAACAGCCGACCCGCGTCAGCCAGCTCCTGAGTAGATGCCCTGATCGTCGGTGGTGGGGTGCTGGGAGCTGTCATCTGGTCCTCGAGTTCCTGCACTCAACATCAAGCAAGATCTGTCCAGAATCTCTAGGAGGTAGTACTCCTAGTAAAACTTGTAACAGGAGGGACACTGCAAACTATCGGGGGTCCTGGATATAAGCCTTCAGCTCTTCGGTATCATCCGGTAGCTCTTCTTTCACCAGCATTGCATCAACACCATCAAGCATGGACTGCCCGCTCCATGCCCTAGTGAGGAGCTTCCGGGCAAGGGCTACTGCTTTGGCCTCCATCGCACCGCACAGTGAGGCCCAACTAAAGTTGATCTACAAGGCCTCAAAACTCTCCTGGATCCAGACAAACAGAAGTCAAGAAAGTTAAACCCCAGATATCAGGTTTTGGCCCCATAGCAAATCACAAGGTTATAAGCGTACGCTTATTTATGGTCGTTGTACGCTTTTTGTTTGGCTTTTGCGCGGGTAATTCCGGCCGTGGTTTTGTAAGGAAAACAGGCGTGCTAAGAATTACGGGCGTGGGGTTTTATAGTTACGGGCGTCGGGCCGGGACTTACGGGCGTGGGCTGGGGGTTTACGGGCGTCGGCTGGAGGTTTACGGGCGTGGGGCTGCAAATTTCCGGGCACGACCCTAGGATTTACGGGCGTGCTCCCAAACTAGCTGCTTGAAGCTACAAAAGACCCCAAAAAGCCTAGGAAAACCATAGCAAAACGACAACCATCCTATCAAAACTTCGGGAAGCACCTTCCGAAATCGTCACAAAGCGAATTTGGGTAGGCCTAGGATATTAGCTTTCACAGACCCTAGCAACCTAAAGCCACAACCCACCACGACAGATCAAGGTGCACACTGTGCTGGGACCTGGCAAGATCATCGTGCTCCCAGCGAATGGAGGCAAAAGACATCTAATGTCAATTTTATTTCTCTCATAGACGAGCAGAGAGCGCTTCAGCGATAAGTCGACCACTGTAAGCATGGCATTGTAAGCACCAGGAGTGCTGCTGTACTAGAAGCATGCTGCGTATGAACACTGCATGAATTTGGATCTACAGCCTTCCGAGGAAACGTCTAGATATGACTTGGCATTGCATTCCGCCAATCTGCAGGAACCCTTAACCCCCGACAGCCATAAAGATAATGTATCACTGACCGAAGGTCGCAATCGGCACAATCATCTGTGTAGCTGGCAGCGGAGAACAACTCTAGTGCAGTTTGCGAAGGAACCGTCAATTGAATCGGTGGCACGTCCAGCTGGAGGGAGCCGAAGACTCGAACCAATCTGGTTGCCAGGCCACGAGGATACTTCCTTGGCCGGCATGAGGCGGCTCCGGGGTTTAGGATGCCTAAGACTAGAGACCCTACTCACCCCGAGTAGACCCCACAGGACCATGCTCTCGGCCCTTAAGTTATTTCGAGAAACACCGCCATTGTACATTCTAGACTTACCTTGAGCCTCAATCGTCTGTAGATTCTTCATAAGATCGGAGTCTGTAAATGTAGGACCTAGGATGAAACCAAAAGCTACCGGAATAGATCTATAGTGAATCTAATTGGTACTTTCAGGGATTTTGTAAATCTTAAGATCTTGGAAGAAGATCTTTGTAGTTCTCAGAACTCCAGAATTGCTTGTTGGTTGAAGTACACGTACGAAGGCTGTCATTGAGCTTGGAAAGGAAGAGAACTTTTTTAAAGGGGTATGGAACAGGAGTAGCACTTGTTTAGAGAGCTTGAAGTGTAAAACTTATCCATAAATCAAAGAACACCATAAAAGTATGATCCCCACTTCTTTCACAAGCCCAGGAATAAAACCGATCCCGAAGATGAAGGCCTCTATATGACCGAAATCAAACCGTCACTGTTTGGATTCTAAGCAGCAGGACGACAAAACCATTACCACCCCGAACCCCACTGCTAAGTGAATTCGAATTGTAAGCCCCTGATCGATCTGTATATATCTGTATGACATCCACATGTAGAAGAGCAAGCTGCTGAGTCTGCTTCAATAGACGGGTGCTTTTCCAACGTGATTGGCCCTGAGAATCTGTGTAATGAATGGAAGTCTTATAAAGAGATCCTTCCCGCTCCTGCTGTACTCGAAACTCCTTCAGGCTGAACTTTGGGCTCGACAAGAACGAGGTAATCTTCGGCGTGCTTGCCCACAGGGTCGTTGGCTTAGGGGTTCTCGACCCGAACTGGCCCATCCATATGCCGAGCTTATACACCTCCGAAGAAGGAGCTTCTGTTGGATGGTAGCCTACAGATAGTTTTGGGTTACTATCTTACCACAGCCCTATATACCCCATTTAAAAGTTTACAGGCCCTACAGGATCGACTTGTGTGTAAGTAACACTACCGGGGAGCCTTCAACTGTCGACAAAGCCACATCATCCTGGAATGTCGCAGCAGCAGACTGCTTCTAGGTTGCTCTAAGATAAAATTGCCGCCCGCGGCGACCACGAGCATGAACAGCATGGCGCTCCTGAGCTAGGTATCTAGTGAGGCTTACTCCAGAGACAATGGGGACTATACCGGGATCCGGGGGTTTGGGGAGTCGGGTGTTTCAGAAGGTTATAAAAGAGTCGGGGTATATATGGGATGGAAGGCCAGACTCAGGCATTTGCTTTGGGCACATAAACTCTATTGTAGCATCCTTAAGGGAGGGGGGTCTAAGGGGGTATATAGCCTAGTGATCCCTAATTCTCCTAGTACTCCCTAAGGTTCCCTTACAGTCCCCTAAGGATTCCTTATACCCTCCCCCCTTGAACCACCCTCCCTTAAGGATCCTATAACTCTAGGTTGTCTGACGATTATAAATGCAGGCTAAGTACCGGGCAGCCATCACATTCCCAGCATGCACAGATGGATAATCATCGTAGCCTTCAGGCAAGACCCAAGACCGTCGGGTCGATCCCCGAGAGGTATCCACCCAAGAGCCACATACCACAGCAAACCAACTGATGAATCCATCGGGCTTGCCGTTCAGCACCGATACCATGAAAGTCCTCAAGACAACATGCTGATTCTTTGTGTAGTATGCATTGTAGTATGAAACACACAGACAAGTGCAGTAAGATAGCATACATAAGATAAGTCTCGCAAAGCCAGCAGGCCGTAGAATGTCCATACCACGAGGACATTTCTCTATGTCCAAACTTGCAGCCTTCAAGCCACTACAACGGGCCTCACGAGACAACACTCCGGATCCTGAAAAGAGCTCTATGAAGTCCAGGTCCTGCAAGCAGCCATAAGCAAAACATAGGTAACCAAGTCGTGTACAGACAGGCAAGAATACCACGATCTGTGTTTGCAGTTTACAGGAGTGGCACCTTGTCAAAAGAAAGGTCGTGGTTCCAGACCACGAGCAGCACACACAGCACCAACATCTTAGGTCAGGGAAAGACAGCATGCATCACTTTCTTAGTCACTTGCACAGCGAAGCGAGGGCAGCGACAGGTTGTCTGTTCTGAGTCAAGCAGCCTTTGGAGCGCCCAAGGTGAACAGGCGTGGCACCAACACATCGGCATTGGGGCGAGGCATCGTAGGGTCAATGTGGTCGAGTTCCCAAAAGAGTCTTTATGAGTCTACCAAGTCACAGCAGCATTTTCTTTAAGAAGCACAACTGAGCTTAAGCTAAAGTAAAGCGAGAGCACACACACAGACGAAAGTGTTGAAACGGCCTGCGCAATTCGGTTCAAATCGAGGCTGCAAGTATTTCTGGACCCGAATACAACACGACCAGCTTTGAGCACCATAAGCATACAGTGCATTCAGTGCAACCAGCCAAAGCTGCCGACACTTTCAACTCATGCCAGGAAGACTTCCTTGACCCTCTTGAAAAGTGCTGATCGCACCAGCTCTGCAGAGGCCCCGCTTGCCTCGAAGAGACATGTTGCCGATCTGTGTGCACCTGCATGGCAGTCGTTGCTGAGGGGGAGGGTAAAAAGGGAGGCCAACACTAGAAGGATCAAGTGTTCTTTGATATGCAAAGCATGCCTTTCACACGGACTGACAGATGGAATCCCGGCACAGGTCACGATATTTTTGCTGGCCCTCGATGGAAATCTTCGCAAGTGAGGTCTAGAGCTCAGGTTCAATTCTGCATCGCAGCCCGGCTGTTCTCACTAGTTGAAATTAAAGTTGGCTGGCAGCTTCGCAAGCGATCTAAGTAGCACAACCTCAGGGTTCCCCTTCATGAACCACACACGGAGGCGAGGCCACAGTCACTTGAGGCATGCCATCCCCCGTACTCTGAATCTTGCCAAAATTTGTTGTACAGCAACAAAACCTGGCGTGCTTTCAGCTCTCATTCCCGGAATCAGTGTCGCCACGCTCGCCGTAGGCCTGCAGAGGCAAGTGCTCTAGATTGTTTGCAACCTACGCCACCTTAGGTACAGTATAATATAAGGCGTGTATTGTTGGCTGAAACTAGACAGTTTTACGAGGTCTAAGGTCAGGGGCTACCCTGGAACACGTTTACAATTATGAGAGCTTATGATAGTCGATTTAAGCCGGCCTGGAAAAGCCTATAAGCATTTCTAAGGCTTGAGCAGTTCAGGGCTTGAGGTTTGTAAGGCTTTAGGGCTTAAGGGTTTAAGGATTCAAGGGGTTTAAGGGTTGAGGGGATTATGGTTTTAGGGATTAAGATCGAGCTGAAAAGGCTTCATGACCTGGTAGGCTACAAAGATTCATCTCAGGATGTATTTATGAATCCTTCGCGCTTACTGATGTATGTGGGTAATCGATCTCCATCGTCTCTAAGTGCTCAGGCAACTGCCCTGAAACAAACCCATTGAAATAGCCTATGGACAATCCAAGGGGTTTCGGCGATGGGTTTGCGGCTCAGGCCCTCGAACGAAGCTTGGGGTCTAAGGTCCCGGGGGTATGATTCTCAGCTCAGAAGAAGGCAGCACCAAATCGATTGATGTACCCAATCAGAAGAAAAACCTTAAACCCCGACCCTGAACCAAACCTTATCTCATATAGAGTCAAATCAACTGTGCAGGGGCGTCGACTGAAAGAGCTTTAGCCACCCAATAAACTAGTCCGGGGATCTGGCTAGGTAGAGTTCACGACTATGGTTCCCCTTTATTGCACCCTGGCCTCGAAACGCACAATCCAATCACGGACGTAGATCTCAGCCTGCTCCTCAAAGAAATCCTTGACATCAGGGCTGTCGATCTCCATATTCGATTCCAGGAAGTTCGCTTTGGCCAGCTTAAAGAACTCCAACTGGGCGAGATTCGAAATGAAGACTGAGCGATCCCTAGTCGTAAATGAATATAACGGGCAAAGACTAGACACTAGCATACCCGGCCAACCGAACACTTCCCTAGCTGCACCTACACACACACACACACTCACTCTCTTTGTCTCTCTCTCTCTCTCTCACCCTCTCTCTGTCTCTGTCCCGGTCTCTCTGTCTCACTCACAGACCTCGCCTCCTTCTTCGAGCGGCTGCGATCCTTGATGTTCGGGGCAACAGCCACCATGAAGCTCTTGCAGATGTAGCGCCAAATCAACCAGCCAAAGCTGTCCTTCTGCTTGGGGCACCACCGACCAGCAAAGGTTTTGGGGTAAGAGAAGCCATCGTCGTCACCATCAGCACCACTTTCGGAATCTGCGGCAACGGCCTTCTTCTTCGGAGCGGCCTTCTTCTTCGGAACGGTCTTGGGAACGGCGTCGGCCTTCTCCAAGGCCTTTGGCTTCGCAACCACCTTCCCAACGGCCTTTGCCTTTGCGACGGCCTTCACCTTCGGATTCGCCTTCTTCGAGCCTGCGCCCGATGGCTTCTCTACATCCACAGCAGCACCCACGGAGCTCCCAACATCCGCCTCCACATCATGGCTTCGCCTGGCCTTCTTCGCGGGAGCCCTGGGCGTCTCCTCACTCTCGACCACCTCTCGGCTCCTCTTGGACTTCTTGCCCTTGCGTCCAACTCGAACGTGGCGCTTCTTGAAGGCGCCACGACGCGTCGTGACCGCCTTGGCAGAGCTCTCCGGCTCCTCCTCAAAGCCAGGCTCCGAAACCACAGGGCTAGCAGCCACCGCAGAAGCCTCGCTGGCTTCCACCGTAGTCTTGCACGCTTTGCCCTTCGCCTTTGCCTTGGCCTTCACTTTCGGCTCGGGCTTGCTAGCGGATGCTTTGGCCTCGGCCTTGCTAGCGGATGCTTTGGCCTCGGCCTTGCTAGCGGATGCTTTGGCCTCGGCCTTGCTAGCGGATGCTTTGGCCTTGGCCTTGGCTGAGGATGCTTTCGCCTTGGCCTTTCCCTTGGGCCTCCCTGGGCCACGCTTCTTGGGCATCGAATCTGCCCCATGATCGTTCTCCCCATCTGCCTCCTCCTTGTTGCTGTGCTTCAGAGAAAGCTGATCGCTTCTGGTGAGAACCTCACATGTACGAGTTTGGGATCTGATGGTTTAAACTCACAAACTTTGCAACACTGGGGTCTGTAGAATCACACACAGCAACAACGCAATGCAACTGCACATGTCAGTTCATTTAGGAAACTTTCTCTGGCGGGGAAAGGTCCAAGAACTTGTGCTCCTTCAGCGGCTTCTCCCTCGGCTTCTCAGTCTCACCGTTCGGCGAAGAAGGTAGCGGGAGCGAGGCCGCCGTCTCCAAAACATCACCTTCACAGCCCAGGCTTCCAGCCCGGAAGAGCTGGCGGGGCTTCGGGGGGGATTCGGTGGTAGTAGCGCTCACAACCATCAATTCCTCATCGAGCAGTGGCCCCATGATTGCTTGGGTGTCAGGATGAAACATCTGCGTGTCTGCTTCATCAACAGGCATGTGCGAAGACGGAGCAGGTCGTTCATCATCAGAATCAGCAATGACCTCTGGCGCGGAGGAGCCTTTGAAGCAATGCACACTCAATCTTCGAATCGGAATCAGACGAGCATGCACACACACACAACAATCTGAGCCATACTGCCAGGGAGCTTGCAACACGTTTGGGCTGGGATCCCGCTGACAAGGCCATGGAACGCTTCCTGGACAATTAGCAAACACTGCAACTGAATGCCCAAACTGCAATGCACCACCAAAAACTGCTTTCATGATACGCTCGACACACTACGTTATGAAGAACATCATGGCACACATCATGTCACAGCAAAGGTTCAGCAGCTGTGCCCTCAGCTTGGCCCGACTCATCGCCAGCTTCTCTTCTAAGCTCACCAACGGTCGTGCAACTGTCCGGACCGATGCATCTCCCCCCGACTCAACCTTGGACACGTGTCGTGTAGCATTGGATTCCTCTGCAATCACCGGCTCTGGTCGTGAAGCATTGGATTCCTCTGCAATCACCGGCTCTGGTCCTGAAGCACTGGATTCCTCCGCAATCACCGGCTCTGGTCCTGAAGCACTGGGTTCCTCTGCAATCACCGGCTCTGGTCCTGAAGCACTGGGTTCCTTTGCAATCACCGTCTCTGGTCCTGAAGCGCTGGATTCCCCTGCAATCATAGGCTCTGGTCGTGAAGCACTGGATTCCTCTGCGACTACCGGCTCTGCTTGTGAAGCACTGACTTCCATTGCAATCACTGCATCCGTAGCACCGGCTTCCTCTAGCTCATCCAGACATGGTTCTGGTCCTGGTTCTTCAGCTTCGGAAACCAATGCAGCCAGAAGCCCCAATCCCGAAATGTCAGCTTCAGATTCAGAAGCTGCGGCTACCATCTCTCCCATTTCAGCTACTTCCTCGTCGGGGTGTGGCTCTGGTTCCACACCTTCGGTTTCCCCATTGACATCCTCCGCCTCGGCACCTCCGTCGATGTCCTCATCCGTGTTGATTCGGTGGACGAGGTGCTCACCCGCCTTATTTGATACATACAAACACATAAAGCAAGAAATCGTTCACTGCAGAGCACTCCCACGGAAACACAACATAAATGATTTGAGTCTAGAAGCTGCCAGAGCAGCTTGCGCGATCTTATCGTACAGCTGCACCAGTTCCCTGACTTTCTCATCCTGCAACATACTTGCTACATGCACATCGATCTATGAACATGCCCGTAGCATTTGCAAAAATACTCGCACACAGGCCTTCGGAACCTCATGGCGAATCCACTTTCTTTTCAGTGTCGTGAGACACCTCTTTGCCGACCAAGCATCCTGGTGCGCCACAGCAGCGAGGGAGTTTTTGTCCGGGTAGTTCACCTCCTCGAAGAAAGCCCTTACCTTCTCACTCAGGTCGTCCACTGCGGGAGTCTCAACTGTTCGACTTTTCACCATCAAAACCAAGATCACCTTCAGTGCTTCGTGATTAGCACCGCAATCTTTCAGGCTGCCCAAGCAGCCTCTTTGCCCCTGAATAGTCGAAGCAAACAATGAGTATCCACGCGCCGCTTGGGCACGAAGCTTCCGAATGGATTCCCACTGAGCTGGCAGATCTGTCAAGTCTGCTACTCGCTTCCCCATGACGGCTGCTCAAAAGCTTGCCTTGAAATCTGTCACTGTGCAACAGCCCAAATGGCTTGTAGGAGGAAAGAGCATCACACTGCACAGCAAAAGGCCAACAGCAATGGAGTAATTATTCTGCATTAAAAGCAAAGCAGGATTATTTTCTGAAAAATCTCGAAACTCTAGATCCTTCTATACCCCTTAACTTAAACCCTAAAGACTGCAACCAGACAGCAGCACTCCGAAGCCCACTGGCCTTGCCGAGGCCAAGGATCCCGAGCAATCTGGATCCGCATCCTGCGGCATCAAAAGTCGTGTTGGCGACTGCAGGGCTTAGGGGTGAAGCTAGTGCTTATATTTTGCAGTGTACTACGGCTCGGCAATTGGGGTCCTATACATATTGAGCAGTATACCATTTCGGAATCCGAAGAAGCAAACCTCAGTCCTCCAAGCGTCTGTTCTGAGGATAATCATGTGCCCCGCGACGATGGCTCCATGCCAGCTTGTGAGCTGTTGTTTCGCCAGTTTACGATGTAGAGCTACCAGATTTCTGAACTCGGGTTCCCTCCTTGCCTTTGCTATCCCATGTGCCTTCGTATGAATACCCATCTGATAAAGGCAAGGATGCTGTAATTGACCTGACCATTCAGTGAATTGAAAACTGTATGCAAATATACTACACCCCTTGCTAGCCTGTGCAAGATCTTGATACAAGGGGCATATATCAATCTAAACCGAGACAGCCCTTCTGAGAGCCTCAAGATTGCCCGCCGAACATCACAAGCCTGAATGCCCAAACGAAAGCTCCCCAAAGACCCCAGATCTGTAGGGTTTTCGAGGTTTTCACTAGTTTACGGGCGCTGTGGTTTTAACCAGTTATTTTTGTAGTCATGTATAAGAACTAGGTTATTACAGAATAACGCTTTATTTAAGGTCGTTTGCGTTGCTAGGTATATATATATATATATATATATATATATATATATATATATAGGCCGTAATAGCTAACCATACTATTTTTGTGGTTCCTTATTATAATTATGGTATAATGCGCCCCAGAACCCTATTCTAACTATTAAGGCCCCTATATTGGTTGTTGGTGCTTTCCCTTTGAAGGTGCTGCTGTCTGGGTGTTCCTGGTTGCTTCAGGTTTTTGGACGTGGGGTGCTTTTAAACTGTTGGGGTTTTGGGCTGTTGAGTTGAGGCTTGCAATAAAGCTTCACGGGGTGAGGGTGTAGAAATCTCGCAAATACCTTTCCCAGAACCTTCGAGGTGAACCCTAGATCTTGCTTAGGGTTCGGGGACCTGGGCAAATCGAGACCACTGCGCTAAGGCAGTCCCTAGGTATGGATGTGGCCTGACTTAAGCGGCTGCGTCACACCGGAGGGCTGCAACATGAAGGATCGAAGCCTCCTACTTTGAGGCCCAGGCGACCTAGTGAGTAGGTTATAAGTAGGTTTCGAAGTACCCTAAATGGAGCTACCCCCCAATTATCACCCTACTTATGACCTACTTACTAAGTCCCCTGGGCCTCCAAGAATTGATGCGGCATCCGGAGCTCAAAGGGACCCAAACTTTGACAATCAAATCGGGAGATCTGAAGAATTCTAGTACCATTCCTGTATAGCCCTCAGAAAGCCTATCTCGTGGCTGAGATCCTTCAGGTACAGAAGTGAAGCATTAAGAGGTCTGCATGCTTTGTAGTGATATCCCTTCTAGTACCTATAAGACCCCCCCCGGGCCCCATTCCCAGAGAACCCAATACCCCTTAATTAAGGAATATAGCTTTAATCATAATATGAAGCCCTACATAATTTAAGCCATATTCCTTAATGAAGCGGTATTGGACTCTCTGGGTTTCAACCATTAGAGGCCTTACGTCTTAGGTTTGTCGGGGCTCCTCCACACTTTATTCACCAGGAGGTGAGAGTTTCCGAAAATAGGGGACCCTAATATAGTGCCCTAAGTAGTAGGATCCTTATTCTAAGGGCCCCAAGATAAGGTACCCCTACGGTTGATGACATAAATCCTGCATGACCTTCAGACCCTAAACCGTGGGAATTACATTTTCTTTAGTGTCGGTAATGCAGGATTTATATCATCGACAGTAGTTATCGGAATCTCCCAAATGAATGAAAGCCTTGTAGGGTTTCTTGGCAGGACTTGGGCTTTTGCACATGGGAGCCTTACGACTGCTCCAAGTTCCTCGGCCCTGTCGCATGTGTACCCTAAACCTAAGATCCTAAAGAAACTGATACAGCTCACGCGTAAGCGCATTGGGGATCCTCACAAGCCTCAACAGCTCAAGTTTCAGATGAGGCCTACCGTCGGGGTGAGGCCAGAATTCAGTTCCAATCTTCCTAAACCCTAAACCCTAAAACCCTAAACCCTTGCAACTAGCTGGCCTTGGGCTTTCGGGGTTGGGTTTCTTAGGGTTTGGGGTGAAGCAAAGGTGCTCAAACACGGCACCGTGCCGGAACTGCAATCTGGGAAGGGCATCGAGGCCTAGGGTTTAGGGGTTTAGGGTTTAGGGGTTTAGGGTTTAGGGGTTTGGGGTTTAGGGGTTTAGGGTCTAGGGGTTTAGGGTTTAGGGGTTTAAGGTCGCACTGTCTTTTTGCGTCGGGCACTCGGTATACTGTTGAACTAAGCTTGTCCATCTTCTGTCTGCGACAGTATGCATCAGGACTTGCCACGGCAAGGGGTGCTTTAGACCCGAAGCCCTGAAATCTCCACCCTACACAAACAGGCCCTAGGCCCCATGCTGGTCCAGGCTGTAGACGCCATGTAGGGGCTTTGAATCAGAATAGAGGTCAGCCTCTTATACAACCCCTTGTAATACTGTATTCTGTATTCTACTACCCTAAACCCTGGGGCGTACCACCCTACGTCCCGGACCGGGGTTGAGGGTTTCTTCAGGGCTGATGGTTTTGGGTTTCAGGCTCAAGGTTTAAAGGCTTTGGGCTTCGTGGTTCAGGGTTAAGGGGATGGCAAAGTCTCTGAATCACAGGCGTAATCTATGTGGGCAACTCAGAAAGCATCAGCTGCTGAGGGAGACGACACAGCCTGGTCGCTACACAGCTGCGGCTGCCGGTGTACGTGGTCAGCATGTTCATGGTTTCGTTGCTGGGGGTCGTATTGGTATCAGCATGAAGAATGAGCTGTTCCACAGCTGTCATGGATGACTGCTGACACTCATTCCACAATTACTACTACGGTTGATTATAAAAAAACCTGCATTACCTTAATGACCCTAAACTATGGGAATTATGGCATGTTCCTTATTTTGGGCAATGCGGGATTTATATCATCCACCGTGCGAGGTGCTCGGACTCGGACTTCCATCACTGCCGCTGCCCACCACTGCCACTACTACTGTCACTGCCACTGCCACTACAGTAAACTCCATAAAGTTGGAAACCAGGTTAAGGCCAAATAGTACTGGGATTCCCTCTACATTACTCTTAAGGATTGAGGCTATGGGGTTTCCAACTTTTGGGCTTCTACTGTAACACTGCCGCCACGACTATGCTTCTCATCCTCCTCCTGCTGCTCCTGCGCCTACTCCTACGGTTGATGGTATAAATCTTGCATTATCCATAATAAGGAATATACCATAATTCCCTATAGTCTTGTGCCATTAAGGTAATGCAGGATTTAGACCATCAACCGTAGTTGAAGGTCTTTGTCAGAGGGTTCTGAAACGAAGCTGAAGAGAGGTCTCGGATCTGAAGCTTCGCTTCTTGGGACAGCTCCGGTCTCTTTCGGGGACCTGGAAGGTATTTCGAGGCCCAGGGGACTCAGTAAGTCAGTTATAAGTAGGGTAATAATTGGAGTGATTATGTTTAGGGTACTTATAACCCTACTTATAACCTGCTTACTAAGTCCCCTGGGCCTCTAGGTGGAAGGCAGGACTAGGGGTGAGAGTCACCTCGACCCGGAACTCTACATCGTGATGAACGCCGTGAGAAACATGCAGAGTCTATATAATATCGGGTATAGCGCTCTTGAATAACCCTTCTTAAACCCTTTTCAAGATCCACCCCACGCTAAAATCTTAATGCATGCCCGACTGGAGGCCCTTAGCATACGAGCCCTCCAAGCCACCCAGCTCTTGAAACTGATGTTTCTACTCTTTCTGGTCCCAGTACATGGATAGTTCTCTCAATTAGGGTCCCCTTTTAGGTCGCCAAAATAGTACGGCACCGTCATAAAAAGGACCCTAAAAGGTCCGCTGATTTACAGCACTACCCATATCATAGTATAGCCGGTACAGTAACGATCCCTGTTGGTCCCTATACGGCGGCGATACGAGGGCACGTCACACTGTGTATGCGACTTAGGGTTCAGGGTTTAGGGTTTAGGGTTTGGGATTTAGGGTTTAGGGTTTAGGGTTTAGGGTTTAGGGTTTAGGGTTTGGGTCTTACAAAAAACTTTCCAGAACCCCTTCTCCCCGTAGTAGACTGCCCCCTCAACCGGAAGGAAATAGTATCGTACTGTCACTGGATTTCCGGTGAGGTAAGTCCTCTGCTAGCAACTGATCTCTGTGCCAGAGGCCTTGTCACACGTGGGACTTGGCTTCCTTCTGCGCTTCTGCTAGGGAGACAGTGAGGTTGCCTTGGCGCATTCGGTGCTTTTGGCTTCAGTTTAAGGTTTAGGGTTTGGGGTTTGGGGTTTGGCGGTTAGGTCTGCAGGATGTAAGAACAGACGTTTGAAGGTTCGGGAACAGAGGCTTGGGTGCAGGAGGCTCCAGGTCAGTTGCATCATCTCTCATTTGAGAGTTTCCGAAAATAGGGGACTCCAATATAGTACCCTAAATAGTAGGATCCTGATCTAAGGACCCCCAAATAAGGTACCCCGGAAACCCCCATTTGAGAGAGAGCACCATGCTCCCACTTCGGCAGCAGGATCCTAAGCTTCAGCGTCATATCATCACAGCTGTCGTCAAAGATGTTGCACGGACTGTGCGTAGGGTTTTAGTCTTACCCTAGGGATCTAAGGACTCATATATTATGGCTTTTGGGCCCAAAGACCATACTATATGGCTTTTGAGCTATTTTGATCCCTAGGGTTAGGGGTTCGGAGTTTAGGCTGTCGTGTCGTTTGTTGGTGACCTTCTACTCGAGCCCATGATTGCTCTGACGACTGCGACCGCTCTGCGACCACGAAGATGAGGTCTGCGACGGCTTCTTGCTAGTGCAGACTGTCTTGTAGCTCTGACTGGCTATGTCCATCGTCAATAAACATCTGGCCTTCTATCATCAGAAACTGCTCCTGCATGATCTTCACCTCGCCACGACCACCGACCCCACCAGCAGCAGCAACAACAACAGCACTACTTCTGCCAACACCGCCACACCGTGCTCATAACCAGCCAGCAGCATGGTAGCAGCCTTATCATCACCACTCTCACCACCGAAATCACCACGATAATCAACATCATTCTCATACTTCTCTGCTACTACCCGTCGTAGTTTCTGTCCTCACTAACAGGATGATAAATCACAGTAACCCAAAATCGGCTGACGTAACTCGCTACCACAAATCGTATATGAGAAAATACTTGGCAATGCCGCTGCATGTAGCACCCTTGGGAGTGCGCCTCTGCAGAAATGAGAGCCACGCCAAGTACGCATACGAAGTTCTTCTTTATGCATCAGCTTTTCTACTGGTACTCATACGCCGCCGGACTCTGGACAGTGAGTGAAATTTTCATACCCCAAAACCCTGAACCCCAAGCCAAAACAACCCTAAATGCGCGAATCACCCAACCAACCCCTAACTCCTGAACCCTCAACGCCTAATCCTTAGCGCCGTTACCTCCGCCGCAGTCGACGGTGGCTCCGTAAGGTGTCCACCAGTAATGCGAGAAGCAGTTCGACTGTCAAGCAGCAAGAGGATCGCTTCGAGCTTCCGGGCATTAGGGCGGAAAAGGAGGGACCCTTAATGGGGACCCCTACCCTATAATGGGCTATATAATGGGTATATCATGGCTATATTAAGGGTATATACCTAGGGGTCCTTATTAAGGGTCCCTCTTTTTACCCTTGGATGCAACCTTAACCTACCCTACTTTTTTGTAGGTTCTTATTATAAACCCTAGTATGGAATTTGTAGGGGCCCTCCTTTTTTGTAGCTTTTGGTGGGTTAAGGTAGGGCGTAATACAGAGGCCCTTAAGATATCTAGAACAGGGTTCTGCAGTTTTGGGCTTAGGGGCTTACGGAGTTCCGGGTGCCCAGCCAAGATTTCTGTAGGGGGGCTGTAGACAGCGAGGCAATTTTACCGCCGTGGCTGGTAGCAAACCGCTCTTGAAAAAATGCGGACGGGATAGTCTTCATCATAGTAGAAAAGAACACGAAAAATCTGAGCAAGAGTGAAGACAGCAGCAGTGATACAGAAGATAGCGGGCACAAGAGTATGCCTCGATTCTGTACTCTTCGTCATCCAAGAGTGGTACTGATCAGACCCTAAGCCCGAAACCCAAATAATTTGCTTTTTGTGCGGCTTGGGGGTGTCTTAGTTGACATATACCAATCTCCCAAGATAAATGTTGCTCTAATTTCCAAAAGGCCTCTTCGTGAGTAAGGACACCGGCAACTTGACAGGGAGGGGAGATAGCACATTCACATAACGATAGAAGAGCCTTAATTAATATGGGAGTTTCCGAAAACTTGGGGCTACCTCATTTTGGGGTCCTTATAATAAGGATCCTGCTGTTCAGGGTACTATATCAGAGTCCCCTATTGTCAGAAACTCCCATATAAGCTTTTCTGAGGTCAGCCCTGGCTCTAGTATCGTGCCCAGAACCCGAGCCGGCCCTAGGTTCCTAAATACAAGAAAGCCCCGATTAGCTGGAGCTCCTGCGACTCCCAACACAGGTTTAGGGTTCAGGGTTTAGGGCAAGACCAACTCCAAACATCTCTCCCCTACGGCTTTCGGCACCTCGCAGCACTGCTTGGACTTGCGCTTCCTCGGCTTTAGGGGTGGCAAGTGTTATACACATCAGACTTGTTGAAAAATTGGCGGGACACGAACATGCCCCAGTCAAACTTTAATTCGCAAGCCATTTGGGAATCCTGGGGATCGAAAACGGCCCCATTGAGGTTTGAGGCTCTCATGCTGACGGTAGCGGCCCCTGAATCGCACGACTTTACCCCGTCCCTTCCTTCCTCCCTCCCTCCATTCGCTCTCTCTCTATCTGTCTCTGGCTGTCTGCTACTCCTTCAAACCAACGCTATAGACCCTAAGTCCCAAATCTGCAAACCCTAAACCCTCAGGGTTTAGGGTTCATTATCTAAGGTTTAGCCCCCGAGTCAGCTCTTTCCATATGGGGTTTAGGGCTTACCCAAACCACATTCCCTGAAACCCAAACCCTCGACCCTGAACCCTCCAACGCATCTCACACCCTAATCCCATCACCCATCGTTTCGGCAGAGAGTCGGGACCCAGAGTGACTCCCCACAGCGCACGCACCAGTTCTGGGGTGAGGGTTGGGGTCCTCTAAGAGTTTATCAGGGATTCTACCCAGAGCCTCCAATACCCATACCTTAAATTATAATAGGATCCCTTATATGATTTAAGGTATATTCCTTAATTAAAGGGTTTTGGAGGCTCTGGGTACAAGGGATGCAGAGCTTGGCTGTTCAGGATTCTGAGCTTAGGGTTTTCGCTGCTTTGAAAAGTCTTTTCAAATGGCGATTTCCGAAAATAGGGGACCCCAATATAGTACCCCTAAGTAGTAGGATCCTGATTATAAACCCTAAAATATGGCACCCCTAATTTTCAGAAACTCTAAACCCCTCATAGAGCCTTTTGAAGGAACCCTTATAGTACCCTTATAGTAACCCTTTAAGGAACCCTAAGGTACCCCTAATTTTCGAAAACTCCCAAATCGGGTTCGGGGCTCAGCGTTTAGGGTCCTCAGGCCTGGCTCTTTTTAAGGGGCCAGGGGACTTATTAAGGTAGGTTGTAAAGGGATCTATAAGGGTTCTATGGGTTCCTTAAACGGGATCTATAAGGGTTCTCTGAAAGGGGGGATTAGGTTTGTTTTCGAGGCCCAGGGGACTTAGTAAGTAGGTTATAAGTAGGGTGAAAAGGACCCTAAATGGAGTTGCCCCAAGAAAAACCCTACTTCTAACCTACTTACTAAGCCTCGATCAAGCAAGGTTCTGTAAGCGGGCTCTAGAAGCGGTTTAAGTTTTTCGGCAGCTTTGGGTTTCGACGTCCAGGGTGGAGCGAGATGAGGCCCGAAATCTAGGCTTCCCAGACCTCCGGGAGGATCCAAAAAGTAGATCCCTTAATGGGGGTTCCTATAAAGTACGCTTAGTAGTATCGGGCCCCAAATTAGGGGATCTACTTTCTAGATCCTCCCGGGGGTCTGGGTTGTGGAATCTCACGTCGTACCCTAAACCCCAAACCCCAAACCCCAAACCCTAAACCCTAAACCTCAAACCCTAGACCCCAAGCTCCCCGTGCTGCTCAATATCATGCCAACAAGGCCCGAAACACCCTACAACTGACTCTGAACTACCCTAACCTACCAAAACCTACTTTCTTGGTAGGGTCCCTAAAAAATTCCATATTAAGGTTTACGATAAGAACCTACGAAAAAGTAGGGTTTGGTATGTTAAGGTATATGGGAGTTTCCGAAAATAGGGGACCCTAATCTAGTACCCTAGATAGTAGGATCCTTATTATAAGGACCCCCTAAATAAGGTACCCCTAATATTCGGAAACTCCCATAATAAATCCCCAACCCCTGAGCTTCCTCATAACTCTGCAACCCCCGCGACCAACCCGAAGAGATCCTCGGGGATGAGGTTTATTTGGGGGGGGGGGGGGGCGTTCAAAGCTGGTTTAAAAATTGTTAAGGGTTTAGGGTTTAGGGTTTTGGGTTTTGGGGGGGCTTTCAAAGCTGTGTTAAAATTGTTCTCAGGTTTCATGTTGGGACGAAGCCCTGAACACACCCGCAACCAGTTCCGACTCATACTTGGATATAGAGTTTGGAGTTTGGGGTTTAGGGTTTAGGGTTTAGGGTTTAGGATTGGTGTCTCAAAACGTTTGCCCTAAACCCTAAACCAGTTTTATCCACTTGAAAGAAAGTGCCTTGCCGTAGCTTTTCCAACCGGTCCTCAGCTGTGTTGACAGCCACCACGGAGTGATAAAGAGGCACAAAAAACACAATGGGGTCGTTGGGTTTAGGGTTTAGGGCGGGTATAGTATACTGGAGTACAGTATGATTTCAAACCTGCTTAGAAGCGCCAACAGCTCAAATATAGCTCTTGGCGTGGAAACGTCAAGATCTGTGGTTCATGAACAGTAACAGGGCATACCAGCAGAATGCACCTGTCATTGCATGGGCAATCTGCCCACAGTAAACTGCAGGCTCCTGCAGTCCGACACGCTTTCGGAAACCGTCCTGTCTCAAAAGCTAGGTCCATTTGTTTTGGGGCATTATACTACAATTAGAATAAGGAACCCCCAAGACAGTATAGTATAGGTAGTTATCTAGGCCCCTATAGTACCCTGGATTTGCCTGCTGGCGTTAACTGCTCGTTTGCTTCTGCTCGTTCTAGCACGAGTAACGAGCAGCTCAACAAGACGAGCAAGTCTACAACCGAGAAGCGTGACAACAGCTTAGCGGCTTTGTACTCTAGCCCAAAAGGGTTAACCTTCCGGATGATAGTAGGGATTACTGGGTTGGCCCCCCAAAGCCTTTGAAAAATATTCGTAAACAAGATCCCCTGAAGCCCAACAAGGGAAATATGAAATGTCCCAAGGGCCTACCTAGGTTATATAAGCCCCAAGAAGGCTGAAGGTTACCTACTCAGCCCCAAAGATAGGGGACAAACCGAGAGAAGAAGCAACAGCTGGAAGGCCGCCCTGCATTCCCGACATCATCATTAGGGTTTAGGGTTTAGGATTTAGGGTTTGGGGTTTAGGGTTTATCATCATCATCATTGGTTAGGGTTAGGGTCTAGGGTTTAGGGGTCGTCATAATCATCATCACAAAGATCAGCACCATTCCCATTTGTGCTTTTGTGTTGCTCTACATGGCTGGAATTGCAGAGCAAGGCTCGCATCAAAAGTCATCGCCGACTTTTCGCACATGTCGGTCATTGCGCAAAGCTCCTTGTCCTCCTCAGGTTCGAACATGTTAAACCGTGAAAGCACCAACCGCCAAACCCTGAAGCCCTAAACCCTGAACCCCTAAACCCCTAAACCCCGAACCTCTAAGCTCTCAAGCCTTTGAAATTGTCAAAGAATGCCCGGGACGTGAAGGGAGCGAAATGGCTTAAGAGTCTAACTCCGCATCTGTTTCGGGCTTTGGGTTTAAAGAGCTAAGGGTCTACGGCTTCGGCTCAGCTGTTCGGGGATTAGGATGAAGGCTAGGATGAAGGCTAAGACCTTACCGGACCTAAACCACAAAGCCGAAACCCCGAAAGCTTAGCTTGAATCGTGGTTCTGCATCCATTAACTCGGGCGCAAGGTGATGGATCATGGTGTTACCATTGCTCCTGCTGCTGTTGCTCTAACGACGACTCGCGGACGACCACAACGACGACCGCGTCCTGTGACAGATGGACGTAATCTTGCACCACCTGTATCAGCTGCACTCCTGACACTGGCGGTTCAGCAGTTTTGGCAGCTTTGCATCCAGCGTGGCATGAATTTTGCGCGATCGGTGCATGATCCTTTCACAGGCAACTCCACGATTATTTGCACATTCCGGGTTCCCGGCCGACTAAAACCTAAATCGTTTCACGGGGTTGCCAGGCGATGTGAAACATCCAGTCAGTATACCCGCAGCGGCTACAGGCTGCTGTTGCTGCTTGCGGGTCTTGACAAGTGTAGCTACTCCTTGTTGTTGCTGAGAGTGCCTGTGCTTATGTTATGGTTTTGAAGCATATTTTGAACCGAGAGGCATTGTACTGGTAGTACTCCCAGCCGGCCTCTGCGCATGATCTAAAACAAGCAGGCTGTTTTGGCTGTACGGCTGCTAAAGTCAAGCATCGCAAAGCAAACCCTAAACCCTAAACCCTAAACCCTGAACTTTTAAAGCCCAAACCTGGAACTCTTAAACCATAAACCCCGAACTCTTAACCCCTAAACCCTGAAACCTAAACCCTGCACTCTTACGGTTTAGAGTGTGTTGTGATTTTCACGGAGATCCAGAGCTTAAACACCTCGAAACTAACGCGCCGCCTTCCTCGTCCAGCAAGAAGCAGGCAACAGTACTAGTTCATGGTTGGGATAGGATTAAAAATGCACATTTTTATTCCTAATTGGGTTTAAGTACTCATAAAAATCTAAAATGTTACCCAACTATGACACAGAGTAGGGAAGGACAGGAGAAGCATTTGGGGTTAGGGTTTGGGTTCAGGATTTAGGGCTACGGGTAGGGAAGGACAGGAGAAGCAGTAGGGCTTGAGGTTTAGGGTTCAGGGTTTAGCGTATTAGTGAGGAGGAGGAGGAGGAGGAGGAGGAGGAGGAGGAGGAGGAGCAGAAGGAGGAGCAGCAGTAGCAAGAGCAGACGTGCTAGCACCCATAAGCGAAGCAAACGGCAAGAGCAGCAAGCGTCGACCAAACAGACAAAACAACACAAGCACTGGAGCCAGTCAAGACAACAAAATGGTAAGGTGGTAACTGCAAAACAAAACAACGAAAAAGCCATGTACTGGTAGTGCCCACTTTGACTTAGAATGACCATCGTCGTAGTCAGTATGCACATTAGCTGCAGCAGCACTGCTACAACAAACAAACAAACAGACAGACAGATAGACAGACAAACACAGTCACAAGCAAATAGGCAAACAAGCAAACAAAAAGCAAAGAAATAAACAAACAAACAAACAACAATCCAACCAACCATCCAACCAACCATCCAACCGGCCGAAAAACAAACAAAAAAGCAAACAGACAAACGGGCCATCCTCATCACACTTCTGAGCCGGCCTCGTCTGCTTTCTTCCGGCAGTATTCACGCGACTTCCCCTCATGGATGTCCATACCTGCCATTATAATAGCAACTGAGATGAAGTTGTACTACAATAGGTTCTACCGTATCCCTTTTTACTATTGTATATTGGCCATATGGATGTCCATACCTGTTTTGATGAGCAGGACAATGATATAGTGATACTGGCACGGAAATTTCGAAGTGTCGAACTGCTGTAGATCCGACTAAGTCCTGCATTGCTGTAGGTGCCCTATAGCAGTTATGGTACCAGCAGCATCCTTAAGATGGATGAGGCAGGATTTTGCCTATCCCTAGACAGAGCCTCAGAGTCGGATCCAGTGGCGATTTGGGGTTCCCCCGCGAAAAATTCTGCCCAACACCCCTATCAACCCTGTACCCTCAGCTGTCTGAGATGATTCTCAACCTTCCGACGCACATGTAGTACTCACAAACCCTGAACCCTTTGAAGCAGGAGAAGATGGTCTCTCAAGGCAACGTTTAGGGCTTAGGGTTTAGGCTGAAGGTTTAAGGATTCAAGTCTCGAGGGGTCGCACTTCCTAAAGCAGGTAGAAAAATCCAGAAGTACTTTAACCTAGCAAAACCTACTCTTGCATAGGTTCTTAGTACAAGCCGATTAAAAGCAATATACTCTGAAATTGATGGAAGCCCGGCAAAAACGTAGGTTCTGATAAGCTTAGTCTTATTCGCAAGAAACAAAAATACGGACCCCACGACCGGGTGAACCAAAAGACCCAGACCCTGAACCCTACACCCTTGAGAACTTGACCCTGAGCCCTTAAGACACTACACCCTGAAACCCTCATATGTGACCCTAAACCGGAAAAGCGCATCACTCGGGAAAACTTCGTGCAAACCAGCCACTGAAACCGTCGAAAGAGGTGTAACACCAACGATGCCTACGAATTCTACTGTGGTTACAGTCATGATCAGAATAACCTCACGGTGTTGGGGCACACTTGTGGGTTCTTGGGCCTTTTCATTGTAAGTTCGAGTGACCTGGAGGGACGCCGGAGTAGGAAACTAACTGTTCTCGCTGGTGCCTCCACCAGACATGATGTACCATCCCCGGCCCCGACCCTTTAGGGTCTAGGGTTTAGGGTTTACTAAATCCTAAACCCTAAACCCTAAACCCTAAGCCCAAAAAACAAGACCCCAGACGTTGACATGTGAACTAGAGCGCCGGTCCTCCCGGAACGTAGCACTGCTGGTCATCCTCTCCAATCCGCATCCAGCCACCCTCCTGTTTCTGGTGCTTTCAACATCCGCGGCTCCAAAAAGGCTAAGGCTTGGGGTTGAGGATTCAGGGCTGGATTTGGTAGCATGATATGGCTTGATGCAATACATACCTGACATACGACAAAGATAACAAATGGCGTGAAAGCCTTGACACAATACCCAACAACGAAGCAACTTTGCGAGATTCTGAACCATCCATGACCCCCGACCCTGAACCCTAAACCCTAAACCCTAAACCCTAGACCCTAAACCCTAAACAATAAAGTAAAAGCCAGGAAGTTGGAATATGATTATCCTAAACCCTTTGTGGTAAATTATAAGGTATCCTACCCTGAAATCATATTCCAACTTTCTGGCTTTTACCTTAAGCCCTCTTGACCCTAAACCCTAAACCCTAAACCCTAGACCCTAAACCCTAAACCCTAGACCCTAAACCCTTTGACCCTAAACCCTAAACCCTAGACCCTAAACAATAAGCCCTCTTGACCCTAAACCCTCAGTTCAAGATCATCCCAGGGAGGCAGTTTCCGAACTCATGGCGCTATCAGGTCTCTCTGGGTTTAGGGTTTAGGGTTTAGGGGTTTAGGGTTTGGGGTTTAGGGTTTTAGGGTTTAGGGCTTCGGGTTTAGGGGTAATCCCCTACCTACTACTATAGGGGCCGTAATCATTAGAATAGGGTCCTGGGGCCCGTTATCCTATAAGCACTATAATAAGGAACCCCCAAAACAGTATAGGTAGTAATTGAGGCGCCTACATTATAACCCTAGACCCTGACTCCCTTCAACCCAAATGACTTACGCAATTAGTTTCGCATGTTTTTGTCCACAGTATGTAGTTTGTTGGAGCAGCGTCTGGACAGACACCATTGCCCCGAAAGTCTGAAAGTGCGAAAGTCCCTAAACCCTGATCCCTACTCCCTGAACCCTAAACCCAGAGCCCTAATCTCTAAACCCCAAAGCCTAAACCCTAAACCCGAAGCCTTCATCCAGGAAGCACTAAACCTCAAAACCTCAAAACCCTAAGCCCCCGCTTGAAGGGCTCCGGACTTCCTGTCCTCAGCATCGAACTGAAGGCGCCGAGCCTAAAATCATAGGGACCCTTAGGGGAGTAGGGGGCCTTAATGCCCATAATAAGGACCTAATCAGGCCTATTTAAGGAAGTATAGTCCCCTACCCCCCTCACCCCTAAACCCTAAACCCTAAACCCCCCCCTAAGGGCCCCTATGATGAAAGGCTGTCAGATCTGCAGTGTCTCAGGTTTTAGGGTTTCGGGTCGTCTCCACAGTTGCTAGGGGTGGTAGAAGTTCTAGGGTTTAGGGTTTAGGGTTTAGGGTTTAGGGTTTAGGGTTTAGGGTTTAGGGTTTAGGGTTGAGGGTTTAGGGTTGAGGGTTTATCTTGTGCAAGAAAAGCAGAGACATTTGGAGCTGAAAAATAAACAGACGAAGCTCTAGATACGTGTATCGGGGTATAAAAGATAGGTAAGCACGTGCACACTCGGGCGGGAAAAGGGCTTGAGTAGTCAAGGCTGCGACAAGTCTGAACTCGGCGCTTTCGAGGGGCTTTAGGGCTGTTAGGGAGCATGGTGCTCAAGCAATGTTTACCGATGTAGATTAGAAGCTGCCCCCACCCTGTAATAGTGACTATTACAGGGTGGGGGCCCCCTCTGAGATATAGATGGATTGAGTTTGAGCTAGAAAGGAGCTTCGGCCTTCGGCATTGCGGGGTTGGAGGTTTAGTGTCTGGGGCCTAGAGAGCCCAATACCCCTTAAGTAAGGAATATGGCTTAAATTATATAGGAGTTCATATTATGATTTAAGCTTTTTTCCTTAATTAAGGGGTATTGGGCTCTCTGGGGGTTTCAGGGGTGTCAGGTTTCCGGCACCCTCAACCCCGAACCCTAAGCCGGATCATGACACATAGCCTTCGAAACAGAAGTCTTGAACCACAGGCTCTTCAAGCCCAAGCAGCTTTGAAATCGCCAACCTAAAGCTGAACATAAGAGCCCCATGGAGCACTTGCCCAAACGAGCTTAAGCTTCAGAATTCACGTAATGTTAAGGTACACGGAAGATGCCCAGAAACATCCAAAAGTCCTAAAACCTCAGCGACCCTTGAACCCACTCTCTTTACAGACTTTAGCACCAGGATCCCTGATTCAATCCAATATCAGGAAAAAGGCTTTATGAATCAACGGTCTAAATTAAACCCCAGGCCTTGAACCCCTCTTGAACCCCTCAAAACCCCAACTGCCAATCCCCAAAAACACCCCTAATCCCTACACCCCAAACCTCCGAACCTCAACCCTCACTCTTAAAACCCTAAACTCACAACCCTAAACTCCCCAAACGGTGAACCCTACAAGCCCAAAGCCTGAATCCTAAACCGACCCTAACCCTAAACTCCCTCAACCTTGAAACCCTGAAACCCCTAAACAACTCTAAACCCTAAACCCCTAAAGCCCTTCTTCCGGAACCCCTATAGATCCCTTTGAAGGAAACCCTAAACCCCCCTAAACCCTATAGATCCCTTTAAAGGAACCCCTATAGATCCCCTTAAAGGAAACCCTAAACCCCCCTAAAACCCCACACTGGGCCCCCGGACCGGCTCGGGATCCGATCCCGCCACGGCCAAGGCCAGAGCAGCGGCGAGCGCGCGCCGGGCCATCCTCACAGTTAGGGTTTAGGGTTCCCATTTAGGATTTAGGGTTTAGGGTTTAGGGTTCAGGGTTTAGGTTTAGGGTTCAGGGTTTAGGGTTTAGGGTTCAGGGTTTAGGGTTTAGGGTTCAGGGTTTAGGGTTTAAGGTTTAGGGTTTAGCGAGGTCGCGCGCTCGGGTGTGAAGCACCCCGGGCCGCGCGCTCGCGTTGCTTGTAAACCCACCCCGGCCACCCAAACTATTCTCTGTTAGGGTTTAGGGTTTCTACCCCCCAACCCCCCTATCAAGGGGGGCTTTTATATTTTTGCACCCATGAACGTTCCAGTTGTTGAGGTTGTGGATTAAGCAACGGCTGGGAGTAGCCTCGGCCCTTTTCGGGCCTTCGGCATGGCGGGGCCGGTTCGGCCCTTCAAGCTTATCGTTTGACAGCTTTGGAAAACGGAAATCCAAGAAATCCCTATTTTTCCACCCATGAACGTTCCAGTTGTTTAAGTTGTGGTTTAAGCAACGGCCTGGAGTAGCCTCGGCCCTTTTCGGGCCTTCGGCATGGCGGGGCCGGCTCGGCCCTTCAAGCTTATCGTTTGACAGCTTTGGAAAATCTAGATTTTAGATCTGGTTCCTAAATCCTAAATCCTAAACCTTAATTTCTAAATCCTAAATCCTAAATCTTAAATCCTAAATCCTAAATCCTAAACCCTAAACCCTAAATCCTAAACCCCAGATCCTAAATCCTAAATCCTAAACCCTAAATCCTAAATCTAGATTTTAGAGCTGGTTGTCCTTTTCCGAAAAGGACAAGCGCGACTAAATATTGCAATCCGGAAGCTTAAGAGCAGCCACACGAAAAGAAAGGAGGGGACCTCGAGATTCGCAACCGGCCTTGTTTAAAAGGCAGATTTTATGAACAGAATTTGTCACTCGAAATTCACCAGCAAAAATCCAAATTTCCGGAATTTAAATCCTAAATCCTAAATCCTAAATCCCAAACCCTAAATCCTAAATCCTAAACCCTAAATCCTAAATCCTAAACCCCAAATCCTAAATCCTAAATCCTAAACCTTAAATCCTAAATCCTAAACCCTAAATCCCAAATCTAGATTTTAGAGCTGGTTGTCCTTTTCCGAAAGGACAAGCGCGACTAAATATTGCAATCCGGAAGCTTAAGAGCAGCCACACGAAAAGAAAGGAGGGGACCTCGAGATTCGCAACCGGCCTTGTCTAAAAGGCACATTTTATGAACAGAATTTGTCACTTGAAAATCACCAGCAAAAATCCAAATTTCCGGAATTTAAATCCTAAATCCTAAACCTTAAATCCTAAATCCTAAATCCTAAACCCTAAATCTTAAATCCTAAACCCTAAATTTCCGGGAGGGCCCTGGGACAACTGTCCGGGGGGGCCCGGGACAGGCAGGCAGGGCAGGGGCAGGGGGGCCCGGCTCAGGGCAGGAACCAGCCTTCCCTGGGCAGGGCAGGCGGGCAGGCAGGGGCCTGGGCCAGGCCAGGGGGGGGCAGGCAGGACAGGTTTAGGATTCAGGGTTGCACGCCCAGGCTTTGGGGTTATTACTTAGCTACGCTAAGGTGGTCTGGGTACGGCCAGCCCTATTCGAGGCTGGACGGTGTCGTAAGGAAGGCCAATAGCCGTTGGCCTGTCCAGGACAGGCGGTGAGGCTTTACCCTCACCTTTCCGTCTCTCTTTTCGCATGGGTGCTCGGGCTGTAAGCCCTCGACCAGTCGTTCGGGGTCTGTCGCTCGACGGATGCGACCCCTCACTAAGTTTAGGGTTTAGGGTTCAGGGTTTCGGGTTTAGGGTTTAGGGTTTAGGGTTTAGGGTTTAGGATTAGGGTTTAGGGTTTAGGGTTCAGGGTTTAGGGTTTAGGGTGTGTAACAGTATGCGCGCGGTGGGTGCGCCTTTTACTTTAGGAATAAGGGGCGCACCCACTAATCGCGCGCTTGCGTCAGCATGTAGTCCCGCCCCAACCACCCCAACTATTCTCAATTAGGGTTTAGGGTTCACCCCCCAAACCCCCCTCAAGGGGGGCTTTCTTGCTCTGTGCTTCCTTTCGCAGCTTGACATGTAAACAATAATATATCTCCAGAAATCACAACCGAAATGGTTTCTGTCGGGTTGTGGGTCCTCGCGGCCTGTGCCGGCCGCTCGACGAAAAGCAAGGGTTTCCAACAAACAGCTTGCATCTCGCACCCTGTAAGGGGTGCTCGAAGTGTAAACAAGGTGCAGGGCAGCAGGGCAGGGCAGGGCAGGGCAAGCCAGGACAGGGCAGGGCAGGGGCAGGGGGGCAGCAGGGCAGGGCAGGGCAGGGCAGGGCAGGGCAGGGCAGCCAAAATTGCAATTTTTGTCCAGGTCCCCCCCTAGGACCGGCCTGGAGGCCCCTGGGTCCTTGAACTCTGCTCGCTGGAGGCCCTGGACCCCGCCTGGGGGGGCTCTTTTTGGAGGGGGGACTGACGTCCGTATTGTGTGAGGCGTATACCGGGAGGCTTTACCCTCCCTCACCGTCTTGTCGGGACGCTCGGCCGGGGGCCTCGGTCGGAGCCTCGAGCGCCCATGCAAATGGTCAGCGGCGCTCTCGGCAGTTTAGGGTTTAGGAGAGCAGTTTTAGAGTAGGGTTGTGCTTACGGTGTAGGAATAACACCCACCCACCCTTAGAATCCCACAACATTAAGAGCATACAAAGTTTCAATTCATTCACAGCTTAAAACTATTATCGCCGAACGTTATACAACACTAAAAGCATTAACATAAACTAAAGTGGTGAATCTAGCCACCCAAAGAACCCCATAACACTAGGATATACAAATTTCTTCATAATTTAGCCCTTGCTTAAGCACCCACCACTTCCATAATGAGCTAATAAAAATTGTTTCGCTTATTGGGGCGTTTGGAAGGCAAACCTCTTGTGGAATTGTTTCGCTTATTGAAGGGCAGTCACACCAAGCAGTCCCAGGAAAGCCAAGAGCATGAGCATCGCTTATTGGGGGGTAGTCACACCAAGCAGTCCCAGGAAAGCAAAGAGCATGAGCATCGCTTATTGGGGGGTAGTCACACCAAGCAGTCCCAGGAAAGCAAAGAGCATGAGCATCGCCTATTGGGGAGTTGACCGAAACTGCAAGAACATTGGTCCCCGATTGACCGGAATTGCAAGATCATTGGTCCCCAATTGACCGAAACTGCAAGAACATTGGTCCCCGATTGACCGGAATTGCAAGATCATTGGTCCCAATTGACCGAAACTGCAAGAACATTGGTCCCCGATTGACCGGAATTGCAAGATCATTGGTCCCAATTGACCGAAACTGCAAGAACATTGGTCCCCCGATTGACCGAAATCACATAAAGGTTTAAATAACATAAGGTAGAGAGGGTTTAGGGTTTAGGATTAGGGTTTAGGGTTTAGGGTTCAGGGTTTAGGGTTTAGGGTTCAGCAGCTCTGGGTCGAGCAGTTTCTAGTCAAGCTTACATTTCTGGACTTAGACAAAAACCCACCCGCCCAAAGAATCCCCTAACATTAAGAAAATACAGAGTATTTTTTTTTCACAGCTTGTACTCCTCATCACCGTTGGTCAGCACTTCACTAGTAGCGTTAACTTTGCTCGCCGATCACCGAAGCATGGTTGAACTGAAAAACTTGCCCAGTTCGGCGGTGCTCGTCGATCACCGAAACATGGTCGAATCGAAAACTTGCCGAAGTTGCCGGAAGTAAAAGGAATTGTTGGTTAAACCCTAAATATCTCATGGTGTTAACACCGTTGCTTGCCTGTTGTAAGTTTTTTTAAGTTGCTGCTGTCGGTAAACCTTAAAATTGCTATGGTGTCAACACCGTTGCTTGCTTGTTTCAAGTAAATCAATTCCAAAAATCTTTTACGGTGGCTTCTGCTATGTGAACGAGGACACATAAATTGAAGGAAAGAAACCCATGATTGCTGTCGTCGGACGGCAAGGTCACTGGCTAGTGGTTGAACGGTCATCGCAAAGAAACTTGTGAGGAGATTCAAGGCATGACATGCAACAGCTCTGCTTGCTGTCGTAAAGCGATGGCGTGACCGCAGCTTCAACTGTTGTGGGTAGTGCTTGTATAAAGCAAGTAAAACATTGAAGTGATGCTGTTGCTAAACCTTAAAATTCCTATGGTGTCAACACCGTTGCTTGGTTGTTTCAAGTAAAGCAGGTAAAGGATTGAAATTGTTGCTGTCGTTAAACCCTAAATTTCCTATGGTGTCAACACCGTTGCTTGCTTGTTGTAAGCAAGACAATCAGAAGACTAAAGTTGCTGCTGTCGCTAAACCCTAAATTTGCTATGGTGTCAACACCGTTGCTTACTTGTTTTAAGTAAGGCAAGGAGAGATTGAAGTTGCTGCTGTCGCTAAACCCTAAACTCCTTATGGTGTCAACACCGTTGCTTGCCTGTTTTAAGTAAAGCAATTCCAGAAATCTTATGCGGTGGGTTTTGCTATGTGAACGAGGACGCTTGTTTAACTGCCCGGTTGAAGGCCAGCACGAGAATGTTGTTGTTCGGCCTTGACACCATTCCAGTAGGATGGTATTGTGACTGGTCGAACGGCAAGGTCACTGGCTAGTGGTTGAACGGTCATCGCAAAGAAACTTGTGAGGAGATTCAAGTCATGACATGCGACAGCTCTGCTTGCTGTCGCAAAGCGATGGCGTGACCGCAGCTTCAACTGTGGTGGGTAGTGCTTGTATAAAGCAAGTAGAACATTGAAGCCGCTGCTGTCGCTAAACCTTAAAATTCCTATGGTGTCAACACCGTTGCTTGGTTGTTTCAAGTAAAGCAGGTAAAGGATTGGAATTGTTGCTGTCGTTAAACCCTAAATTTCCTATGGTGTCAACACCGTTGCTTTCTTGTTGTAAGCAAGACAATCAGAAGACTAAAGTTGCTGCTGTCGCTAAACCCTAAATTTGCTATGGTGTCAACACCGTTGCTTACTTGTTTTAAGTAAGGCAAGAAGAAGATTGAAGTTGCTGCTGTCGCTAAACC